TGCCTGTCACCCTCATCGACCCCAAAGAAAGCCTGGGTGCCCTGCAGCGAATGGAGAGGAGGCAAAGACTCCCCCCCACACACACACCCCCGCCGCAAGTTCGAGCTGGAAGCCCCCTTCCACCCATGCCTTCCCACAGTGCGGCCCCAACCCATCCTCAGTACCCCGGCAAGGCAGACCTTACCTCAGGGTCCGCCCCAGCCTCCCGCGGTACGATCCGCACCCACCTCGAGATCACGGGCCTCACCTAGTCCCAGTTTCGACCCCCGAATCTCCGCCAGCTGAATGCCTGCCCCGCACAGACCTGTCGCGTCTTGCCAGCTTCCAGTTTGCAGCTTAGCTCTGTACCTCTGCCCACAGTGCGCGCCCGCCTCCTCGCTGCCTTGGCAACAGCCCCCGCCCCCAGGCAGCGGCGATTGGTCCGACTGGGATGGCGGAGGCGCTGATTGGCTGGTGCGGAGACGATTCTTCGCAGCGGGTAGCGCGTCCACCCTGAAGCCTAGGGGAAGTTGAGCCAAGAGGGACGTGGCGCTCGGCTACGCGGGCGGGGAAGCCGCGCCCCTTCCTTCGTTTGCTTTCAAGGGGAAGCCTGTAGAGCAAGGTTTGGGCGGGTGAGCCGCTGTCCCGGGAGAGGCCGCCCCTTAGTTACTGGCAGTGCCCAAACCAGTTAGCGAAGGGCTGTCAGGCCCATTTCCTCCCACGGGCCTCTTTGGGGTCTCACACCCGCGAGCCTCCTCCCCACCCACCTCCCTGATGCTGGGCCCTCGGCCACTGAGGCTTGGCTGCTTTTTACTCCACCTTCTCTCACCCATCTGCGGACTTATCTCTTATCTCTATGTCCATCGCCCTCATAGAACTGAGGCATCTACTCCAACCATCATTTTAATGATGGGGAAGCTGAAGCTCAAAGATATACGTGGCTCGAGGGTTAGAGAAGCTCTTGGAACACCAAGACTTGTTTCAAAGCTTGAAAGTCTCTGAGCCGTAGTTTTCTCCCTTGTGAAAATGGCATCATCTATTTCACAGTTGTTAGTGAAGATTACATGAGATAATATTCCAGAAAACCAATACAGACCTGTTGCATCAGGGGGCAGACACTCAACACAGGAGCTACTGTGGCAGGCACTGGCCATATACGAAGAAATGGCATCGCAGATCTGGCGCCAACAAAGCAATACTTGGCTTCCCCCAAGTGGGACACAGGCCCCACCACCACCTGAGAGCGACAGCCCACCAGAGCGACAGCCCACCAAATCGCAGCCAATGCTGTGCAGGCCCCATGGTGCAAAATGCAACCCACAGCCCAGCCCAGCCCAGAAATGGTGGCTGTGGGTGTCGGGTAATGATGTCATGTAGCAATGCCTGGCTTCCTTTCCCTAGCAACTAGCCTCCTTGCAGTTTCTTCAGCCCAGAAACACAACTTGCTTTATAGCCAGGTGCAAACATTTTACACTTTAACCAAATGTC